ACGGGGGATGTTGGGCAGGCTGCTGCAGCTCCTCAGAGCCAGCCCCCGTCCGTATCAGGCACAGCCCAGGTGCACCGGGTGCAGCCCCATAGCTGCTCAGGCTGGGGAGGAGCAGCCCATTCAGGGAGGTAGTGGGGCACGCCAGCCTGCCCCTGCTTAGGACCAAGTTGGGATGGGAGATTGAGGGTCAGATGGCAGCTCCCCCAGCTGGGGGTGGTTGTGGGGCAGGGCCAGGCCGGGTAATTCTCACGGACGGGTCGTGGGTCATGGGATTTGGGTATCTGCAGCAGCAGCTGCTGCACCGGTGCCAGACGCTGGATCTCACAAATGTCAGGGCGGGGCACAGGGCAGAGCTGTGCAGGGGCCTTAGGGCTGAGGACACACACCTGCCCCTGCCCCTGCCTCCTGGGGCGGAGAGTGGACTCGGGGGCAGCAGGAGGCCTGGGAGGGGGACAGTGTGAGAGTGGTGGGATGAGGGGAAGCCATTGGGCAGAGGGGCATAGAATAGATTCGTAGATTGTGATCGGGGGTGGGGAACCGCTTTTAATTCAGTGACTGCTGACCTGCAGAAAAATCAGGTGTGGGCTGAAAAAACCCACCAAGGCGGGCTCCCCAGTGCTGACGGGGGAGCCCTGGGCCTCAGGGGCCGGATCCAGCCAAGTCGGACCTTAGGTTCCCCCCCATCTAGAGCCTGTAGAGCACTGGCCCCAGGAAAGAATTCTCCAGGACCCTGGAGAATCACTCTCACGATGAAAAATGCACAATTCATCTCTAGTGTGAACTTTCTTCCGCTTCCTCCCATTGGATCATGTGAGTCTGTTAGCTTGGTACTGGAGCCAATTTACCTTCTCCCTGTGGAGGTTCATAGAAACCGTGAGAAAGTCACCTCTGAACCTCCTCATAGTGAAGCTAAATAGATCCAGATCTTGAAGTGCTGGAGTGTAACTAGACTACAGGGTTTTTTTTTGGAAAAATGGCCGTTTTTCTGAAAAAACTTCACTTACGCCCACACTGTTATTGCTTTCTTGCGAAAGAAAATCGAAAGAACGCAGGGGTTTTCCGACATTGGTAAAGCTCTTTCTACGAGGAAGAACACCTTTTCCGAAAGGGCTCTTTCAGAAAAGGGCATGTGTGGATGCAGAAGAGGAAGTTTTTTCAAAAGAAGAGACCTACAGGAAAAAGTACAGGTACCCTGGGAACCATAGTAATCACAGCTTAAATGCGAGATCTCCCGTCGGGGAGAGGCCTGACCTTCTCCCAATAAAAATAAATTAATGGAGATTGCCTATCTCCTAGAACTGGAAGGGACCTTGAAAGGTCATCAAGTCCAGTCCCCTGCCTTCACAGCAGGACCAATTACCATCCCTGACAAATTTTTGCCCCAAATCCTTAAAAGGCCTCTGCAAGGATTGAACCTTGGCCTCTGCAAGGATTGAACTCACAACCCTGGGTTTAGCAGGCCAATGTTCAAACCACTGAGCTATCCCTCCCCCCCCAATGGATTGGCAAAGGAAGAGAAACAGACCAGAACATCATTTCAGGGTTTTTTTTAAAGAAAACACGATTCCCTGGGTCATGTTCAGGATTCCTGCCAGTCTGACACACGACTTTTACTCTCTCGAGGTGTTTCCCGTGCCTGTCCCTGCGGGCCCCCATGCCTGTGCAGCAGAGGAAAGTGAAAGGCACCCCTTCCCACATAAATGTCATCTACCAAGCCAAGCAGGATGGACCGGCTGCTGACACCGCAGCTGCAGGTATCTCCTCCTCTAGCCGGGGGGGGACACTCAATCCCCTCCGCCCCTTTGCCCCTCT